TGAGATGATTTCTGTCACCTTCAGCTGAAAGAATTCCCCCCCGTGGGTGGAATCAGGGACCCCCTCTTGGACTCCCAGAACCTCTGGTGCTGCCACTCTGCTGTACTCACCAGACATTGATGCCCCCGCCCCTGAGTTTTGGCGCTGGCATCACGCTTTTGCTTACCTGCTCCCTTCTTTCTTGAAACCAGGGATCTGGCATGTTCATTTCTATATCCAGAGTGCCTGCCGTAAGGAGGTGTTCAGTAAATAATGGTAGAATGAACAAATAGAATGAATGAATGAATGAACGAGTGTCTTCTAATTGCTCAGGAGACTTTAATAGAGCAAAAAAGGAGAGTTTTTCTTCAGAGACCTACTGGCTATGAGACCTAAGTCACCCTCACGTCCTCTCTGAGCTGACAAAGGATTATTATTTTTTAATCTTTCTTTATCCAGACCACAGCTGAACCAGCCACACCCATGGAACACAAACCAATCTCCCATTACAGAAAAACAAATCTGACCCAGCCATTCCCCTGCTTAAAACAACTTTCAGTGACGTCTTTGGCAGGAGTGGGTGGAAGGGAGTGAGCATTTGGATTCAGGGAACATTCTGCATTATAGAACGTTCATGTGTTTATTGATTGATTCATTCAGCAAGCATTTAATTAGCGTCTACTATGTGCCAGGTACTATACATTTACTTCATCTTCACAGCAAGCTTTTAGGACAATGTGTTTGTTATCTGCTGCTGCATAACCAACTACCCCAACTTTAGGGGCTTACAACAACAAACATTTGGATGCCTGTGGTCAGGGTCTCTCAGGAGGTGGCAGCCAAGCTGTCAGCCAGAGCTGTGGTCATGTCAAGGCTCAGCTGGAGCTGAGGGATCCGTTTCTAAACTCATGCACATGGCTGTTGTCAGGCCTTAGAAGGTTCACTTTCAAGTTCACTCACGGGGCCTCTCCATCGGGCTGCCTCCACACATGCGAGCTGACTGATTGATCTAAGAGACGGTGAGAATGTCCAAGACGGAAGTCACAATCTTTTTGTAACCTAATCTCAGAAGCAACATGCCCATCACTTCTGCCACATGCTGTTTATTAGAAGTGAGACAGGAAGTCCAGCCTACACTTGAAGGGAGGAAATGACACAAGAGTATGAATACCAGGAGGTGGATTAATTGGGGGCAGTTTTAGAGCCTACTTGTCACACGTAAGGTATTATTAGCCTTCATTTCATACCTGGACACCCAGCTAGTTAAGCAGCTTGTCCAAGTCACCCAGCTAGAGAGCTGTCTTGAGTCTGGAGTGGTTTTCTGTTTCCCCAGGGTGGTTGGGGGTGAGGTGAAGGAAAACAGGGAGAAGTTGCTGGTAGGAAAAAAAAAATGCGATGGAGTCTGTGTTCATTATTTACTGCTGTGTACCTGATTATGCATAAATTAGCAGCTTCAAATAAGCATTTATTATTTTATAGTTTCTATGGATGAGGAATCCAGGAGCAGCTGAGCTGGGTGGTTCTGGGTCAGGGTCTCTCAGGAGTCTGTAGTTAAGCTGTGGGCTGGGGCAGCAGCTTTGAAGACTTGACCTGGGCTGAGGATGTGCTTCCAAGATAGCTCAGTCGCATGGTTGCTGGCGGGAGGCTTTAGTTTCTCACCACGTGGACCCCTCTGTAACCATGCTTGAGCATCTTTAGGACACGGCAGCTGGCCTCCCCCAGAACACGTGATTCAAGAGAGGCTAAGCAGAGCCTCAATCTCTCTCTCTTTTTTTTTTTTTTTTTTGAGACAGGGTCTTTGTTTTTGCGCCAAGACATTTCAAAAGAGAAATATTAGGTATTATTGGCTAAAGAAAGATTAAGTCAAAATCAATAAATAATTGAGAGCTGCA